TTTATTTGCCTGGAATTGGGCTTTAATTAATACTATACTGGGCAAAAAAGAGCTAGTTTAGCTAACTAATGCAAAATAAGCTCCTCTAGATGCAAGATTATATTTCCTGATAGAACTGCTGCAACAACCTCAAAATCCCAACTTCCAGAGTGTTGGAACATACTGTATGTACACCCACCCTCAATCCTACAATGCAATGCTCAATGCCTGAGAGACCTATCACCAATTCTGAGTGTTTGGCGCTAGGAGTGTCTAAACTTATACAAATACACACTTTCAGAAAGTTGGGAGTTGCCTTGGAGATTCACAAAGTTCGAGTGGCAATGTGTCCAACATTAATATAACAGACCCCCCCCCTTTTTTCCCCTTTCCTTCAATCTCCTCACATTCTGCCTCCCTTACCCTTCATGGGCTGGCAGTACTCCATCGGAAGAGCTTACAAATAGGAGGATCATATTGGCCATAGTGTACATTTTACAACCTGATGCCACATTGTAATTTACCCTGCACCATTAAGAGTACATGCCCTTCCCCTTCCAGGAGCGGGATACCATCAGCCTTCTCCCTAACTTTATGTGATTACCTCTACCCCCTTGTATGTCGTCCTATTGTGCCTGGTGTCACAAGTTGAACTCCAAGTGGTAAATGTGTTTCCATGCAGCATATTTATATTCAGACGCTTGCATTTTATCATTTGTTTTTCCTTGATTTTTCCTTGTTTTTTCATGACATCTGCTTCTAGTGATATAAAGTAATCGCTCTGTAAGGTGCAACGAGCATGGAATCAAGTTTTCTGTTTTGCTGTGACCTAGATCTGGGTTTGAGAACCTCTTATTACTTGAATGTAATTTTGTTGAATTGTAAATGGCACATATTTTCAATAACGTTTGCGTGGGGGAAAAAAAATATAACAGAAAAGTTAGTCTGGTGGCACTTTTGCACCAGCTGGTTTAGCGTAGTTTTTTTTTTTTTCACTATAGGTGTACATTATTAGTACCTAGATATTGGATATTCCTTTGGTCATACATAGAGTGAGAAGGCATCTCCTTTGTCAGGCTGGTGCCCTGAATAACAAATATACAGTTGTGTTCAAAATAATAGCAGTCAGACATCACTAACCTAACCAATCACTGTTTTTGGTAGAAATGATATTTCTACATAGCAAATAATTTACTAGCAGGTGTAGTAGAGTAACAGAAATCCAACAGACCCAACAGTCATGACATGCATGCTGCTGATTCTGTGTAATTGAATCACTAATTGAAAGGGGCATGTTCAAAATAATAGCAGTGTGGAGCTCTATTAGTGAGGTCATTCATTCTTTGAAAAACAGGTGGCAATTATTGCCCTTATTTAAGGAAGGAAGGCAGCAAATGTTGTACATGCTGGTTACAGTGCATTTCTCTCTGAAATTCTGAGGAAAATGGGTCGTTCCAGACATTGTTCAGAAGAACAACGTACCTTGATTAAAAAGTTGATTGGAGAGGGGAAAACATATAAAGAAGTGCAGAAAATGATAGGCTGCTCAGCTAAAACGATCGCAAATGCTTTAAAATGGCAACCAAAACCTGAAAGACTTGGAAGAAAGCGAAAAACTACCATTCGAATGAATAGAATAGCCAAAATGGCAAGGGCTCAGCCAACAATCAGCTCCAGGAAGATCAAAGAAGGTCTAAAGTTACCTGTGAGTACTGTTACAATTAGAAGACGCCTATGTGAAGCCAAGCTATCTGCAAGAAGCCCCCGCAAAGTCCCACTGTTGAAAAAAAGACGTGCTGAAGAGGTTACAATTTGCCAAAGAGCACATTGACTGGCCTAAAGAGAAATGGCGCAACATTTTGTGGACTGATGAAAGTAAGTTTGTTCTTTTTGGGTCTAGTGGCTGGAGACAGTTTGTCAGACGACCCCCAAACACTGAATTCAAGCCACAGTACACTGTGAAGACAGTGAAACATGGTGGTGCAAGCATCATGATATGGGGATGTTCCTCATACTACGGTGTTGGGCCTATTTATCGCATACCAGGGATCATGGATCAGTTTGAATACATCAGAATACTTGAAGAGGTCATGCTGCCTTATGCTGAAGAGGAAATGCCCTTGAAATGGGTGTTCCAACAAGACAACGACCCCAAACACACCAGTAAACGTGCAACATCTTGGTTCCAGACCAACAAGATTGACGTTATGGAGTGGCCAGCCCAATCCCCGGATCTTAATCCAATAGAAAACTTGTGGGGTGACATCAAAAATGCAGTTTCCGAGGCAAAACCAAGAAATGGAGAAGAACTGTGGAATGTAGTCCAATCATCCTGGGCTGGAATACCTGTTCACAGGTGCCAGAAGTTGGTTGACTCCATGCAACACAGAACGACGAAATATTAATTGATTCAAAGGAAAATAAAATCTTCAAACATTTTTCAGTTTATATAGTGAATGTTTGAGTTTGTAATGAAGAATACAAACACTGCTATTTTTTTTAACAGTCTAATATTCACTTTTTTTCAATTTTTGTAGAGGAACACCACAAATTTGATATATTTTTCTTCATGTTTTGATTTGGAATAGAATGTGTAGTGTTCCCAATGCATTTGTGTATATGGAAATAAAAGCTATTAGAAGGATTTTGAGCTTTATTCACTTTTTTCAACACACTGCTATTTTTTTTAACACAACTGTATATACACTGCTCCAAAAAAATGAAAAGAACACTTACTTTTTATAGCACCAAGTCAATTAAACTCCTGGGATATTGATCTGAGCAGTAAAGTAGCAGAGGGGGTTGTTAATCAGTTTCAGCTGCTTTGGTGTTAATGAAATTAATGAAAAGGTGCACTAGATGGGCAACAATGAGACAAACTCAAAAACAGGAATGGTTTTACAGGTGGAGGCCAGTGACATTTTTTTCCCTACTCACCATTTCTGACTGTTTTTAAATTGTTTTGCATTTGGCTAGGGTCAGTGTCACTACTGGTAGCATGAGGCGATACCTGGACCCTACAGAGGTTGCACAGGCAGTCCAACTCCTCCAGGATGGCACATAAATATGTGCCATTGCCAGAAGGTTTGCGGTGTCTCTAAGCACAGTCTCAGGACCATGGAGGAGATTCCAGGAGACAGGCAGTTACTTTAGGAGAGCTGGACAGGGGCATAGAAGGTCCTTAACCCATAAGCAGGACCAGTATCTGCTCTTTTGTGTGAGGAGGAACAGGATGAGCACTGCCAGAGCCCTACAAAATGACCTCCAGCAGGCCACAGGTGTGAATGTCTCTGACTAAACAATCAAAAACAGACTTCATGAGGATAGCCTGAGGGCCCGACATCATCTACTGGGCCCTGTGCTCACTACCTGGCACCATAGAGCTTGATTGACATTTGCCATTGAACACCAGAAATGGCAGGTTCTCCACTGGCGCCTTGTGCTTTTCACAGATGAGAGCAGGTTCACCCTGAGCACATTTGATGGACGTGAAAGGGTCTGAAGAAACAGTGGAGAACGTTATGCTGCCTGTAACATCATTCAGCATGGCAGTTTTGGTGGTGGGTCAGTGATGGCCTGGGGAGGCATATCCATAGGGGGACACACAGACCTCTACAGGCTAGACAATGGAACCCTGACTGCCATTATTATTTATTTATTTCAGGTCCTTATATAGCGCCATCAATTTACGCAGCGCTTTACATATATATTGTACATTCACATCAGTCTTTAACCCTCAAGGGGCATACAATCTAAGGTCCCTAACTCACATTCATAAATACACATACTAGGGCCAATTTAGACAGGATCCGATTCACCTACCAGCATGTCTTTGGAGTGTGGGAGGAAACCACTGTACCCCGAGGAAACCCACGCAGGCAACATGCAAACCCACGCAGACAACATGCAAACTCCAGGCAGGTGGTGCCGTGGTTGGGATTCGAACCAACGACCCTAGTACTGCCAGGCGGAAGTGCTAACCATTTAGCCACTGTGCTGCCCGATACCATTAGGTATCGGAATGAAATCCTTGGACCCATTGTCAGACCCTATGCTGGTGCAGTGGATCCTGGGATCCTCCTAGTGCACGACAATGATCGACCTCATGTGGCGAGAATATTGCAGGCAGTTCCTGGAGGATGAAGGAATTGATACCATTGAATGGCCCCCATGCTCACCTGACCTAAATCCAATAGAACACCTCTGGGACATCATATTTTGGTCCATCCGATGTGGCCAGGTTGCATGTCAGACTGTTCAGGAGCTCAGTGATGCCCTGGTCCAGATCTGGGAGGAAACACCCCAGGACACCATCTGTCATCTCATTAGGAGCATGCTCCGACATTGTCAGGCATGCATACAAGCACGTGGGGGCCGTGCAAACTACTGAGTACCATTTTGAATTGCTGCAATGAAATTTCAGCAAAATGGACTAGCATGCTACATCATTTTTTCACTCTGATTTTCGGGTTGTCTTTGAATTCAGTCCTCTGTAGGTTGATAATTTTCATCTCCATCAAACAATGGGGCATTCTTACGTTCCTAACACATTACCCAGTCCATATCAGTATAGATATCCAGCATGATATTTTTCCCCATTGAGATCTGATGTGTTTTCCAAGTGTTCCTTTAATTTTTTTGAGCAGTGTATATACACTATATTGCCAAAAGTATTGGGACACCTGCCTTTACACGCACATGGACTTTACTGGCATCCCAGTCTTAGTCCGTAGGGTTCAATATTTAGTTGGCCCACCCTTTGCAGATATAACAGCTTCAACTATTCGAGTAAGGCTGTCCACAAGGTTTAGGAGTGAGTCTATGGGAATGTTTGACCATTCTTTCAGAAGTGCATTTGTTAGGTCAGGCACTGATGACGGACAAGAAGGCCTGGCTCACAGTCTCAGCTCTAATTCATCCCAAAGGTGTTCTGTCGGGTTGAGGTCAGGACTCTGTGCAGAACAGTCAAGTTTCTCCACCCCAAACTCACTCATCCATGTCTTTATGGACCTTGCTTTGTGCACTGCTTTACAGTCATGATGGAACAGGAAGGGGCCATCCCACAAAGTTGGGAGCATAGAATTGTCCAAAATGTCTTGGTATGCTGACTCCATAAGAGCTCCCTTCACTGGAACTGCAATGCAGTCAGGCATGTACTGTTCTCCTGGCAACCTCCAAACCCAGACACATCCATCAGATTGCCAGACAGAGAAGCGTGATCCATCACTCCAGAGAACACGTCTCCACTGCTCTAGAGTCCAGTGGCGGCGTGCTTTACACCACTGGATCTGACGCTTTTCATAGCAATTGGTGATGTAAGGTTTGGATGTAGCTGCTCAGCTATGGAAACCCATTCCATGAAGCTCTCTACGCACTGTTGTGCTAATCTGAAGGCCACACAAAGTTTGGAGATCTTTAGCAGACAGTTGGCGACTTATGCGCACTGTGCACTTCAGCATGTGCTGACCCTGCTCTGTCATTTTACGTGGCTTACCACTTTGTGGCTGAGTTGCTGTTCTTCCCAGTTCCTTCCACTCTGTTACAATACCATGAACAGTTGACCCTGGAATATTTAGTAGCAAGGAAATTTCATGGATGGACTTATTGCACAGGTGGTAACCTATCACGGTACCACGCTTGAAATCACTGAGCTCCTGAGAGCGACCCATTCTTTCAAAAATGTTTGTAGAAGCAGTCTGCATGCCTAGGTGCTTGCTTTTATACACCTGTGGCCATGGAGGTGATTGGAACACCTGAATCCAATGATTTGGAGGCGTGTCCCAATACATCTGACAATATACTGTGTGTGTGTATATATACACACACACACACACACATACATATATATTATTTTTTTTTTTATCTTATACAGTTATCAGTTATTAAATAACACACTTCAAATTGATTACAATTTGTTTTGTCACGCTATAGTATTTTTTTAAATAAACTTTAACACTGGCTGTAACTAGTAACTATTGCAAAAGAACTAAAAAACCCAAGAGACATTGCTTTTGACATGATTGATCGTAAAGGACAGCCCTGGAATTTCAGGCACCTATACAAATGACCTGCAAAAGGAGTGGGCTGATTAACAATTAACTACTCCCAATAAGATAGGATAATTAAGCACACCATTGAGCATTAGTTGGCAGGAGGGCAAGTGTGTCAATGGTTAGCACCTACTTGTGATTTTTAGGACAGAGCTAAAATGTGAAGAAAGTGAAAGCAGACACTTAAGTGTCACTAGCATGTAGCTGACTGAAGGGTGCACAAGGTCACTATAGGGCCACAATGGTCATTTAAGGGTGACATCCCACAGACCAAAGTCATGCCAACCTGGATAGACCATCATTTGGCAAGGACCTAAAATATGCTAATTTATTGGTGGCAATTCTCTTTTTAATGGCCTAAAGACAAGCGGCCTACTTAAAATTCAAACTTCAAAGGAGATTAGGGAAAGAGGTTTGCAGGGCTTATTGGACAGCATTGTTTAAAACATAAGCCCTAACTATATTTGTAAACCCCACAGAAGATGCCACTTTTGCTAATGGAACATTTTTTCAGTAAAAGAGAAATGTATAGCCTGCTACTGCTGATCTTTTCTTATCAATGATAATTGCCTGGCTGCCATACTGATCCTCTGCTTTCTAAAGTTTTTGAGTCACAGATCGAGTATGCATATCATTAGTTTTGACTTTCTGTATATACATTCTAGCCTACAGGCTTAAAAAATATTGAAGAAGGTCTACACAGCAGCAAGGAAACTGGCATATCTGGAAAGAAGTCTTTTGTGTACATATTGCCCACAGAGGGAATTCAAGGAAGTGTTTCCTTGAAGACACATGCAAATAAGTCTAAAGGATTAGTTCAGTGGGGCTGGAGAGACAACCAATAAGGGCTGCTACATGATGGGGATTCAAGTATGCCTGACATACCAATGATACAAAAAGGAAAGTTTTTTGAGAGTGTGGAACAGCATTGTAATGAGGCATCCTAACTAGATGAATGGTCAGCTGACATTTTCGTCCCTCTCCTCTGTATCCATAGTAGTTGTCTGACCTCTTTTGATCTTGATCTTTCTCAATATTTGGTAATATTCCACAGTGTCTGTGGTGGTGGCAAGTGATAACAAAAGGGAGTTTTTTTTTCCTTTTGATTGGATTTGGGCATGCACTGTTCTAGATGACATTTGACTTATGAAGATTCTTTTGGGGCATTTAGAATGCACTATAAAAGTTACTTATTGGATTATATTTGTTTACAAATAACTTTGTATGTTGATTCACAAGTTATTTATGACTTCAATTTAAAGAGACAGAAACACAAATTTTGGAAGTTAAATAAGTCTAAATGTGTCTGTAAATCACACATAGGACAGAGTAATTGCTTTAAACATTGAATGAGGAAAGCCCTTAGAGGCCTGCCGCAAAAAACATGGCATTACCCAGAAGTTGTTCTGCTTTAGAAGAGAGTAATTTATAAATGTCCCTGTTGGTACTATGTATGATGTCAATTCTGAGGTGCTTCACACAACCTTTTACATAAATATGTTAAAAATGGTGGATTGTACTGGAAAAAGGATGAATTACTCTATGACCTCAATGAGATAAATGCCACTCAATTAAAATAAATAAAATACCATGCCATCATCACACATGATCCATATCATTCAGCTTTTCAGTCAATACAGGATCAAACTAATAGAAATATCTGCAGAAAAAAAAAAAAAAAAAAAAAAAGAGTATACTTACCTTTCTGACAGCCCATGTCTTGAAATGCCACCATGATTATGCCTCCCAGCAAGTACTCAACAATTTTGGGTGGATATATTACTCTTACCCCTACTGTATTTAGTGGTATCTCCTGCTGGTTCATACAGTATATCACTGATGTACAAGTAGGCAGGAGGAACCACTGCGTATGATGAAGGAAACAGGTATTCAACCCATCCTGCCAGTCAAATACTTGTTGGAGAAGAGAAGCAGAATTGCAAAAGTGTTTCAAAACATAGGCCATCACAAATATAAGTATAGAGCCTCTTATTTTGCAGGTATTGCTATCTGCTGTTGTGACCCTGAAGTAACAAGGTCAGTTTAATCTCTTGCCATCTATATAATGCATATAAGCAGCGCAAATAGTAAGAACTTGAACGTCCGCACATCGCACATATGCGTCCATGGCAGCAGAGGTTTCTGTGCTGAGAGTGTGCTCTCCCAGGACAGAGACCAAGGTGTCAAAGACAGCTCTCAGTCTCTAGTAATGAACAGGAGCAGTCAGGACCAGCTCCCAAACATGTGACACCTAATCACAGTGGTCATGTGATCAGGCAGACCTTCCTTTCCCTCCGGACATAATAGCCCTGTTCAAGGGATGCCAGGGCTGGGAGGGAAGGGATTAACAAATAAGCACGACACATTTCACAGTTTTATATTCTTATAGCTTTCCTTCTTTTGAAGTGCTCTGCATTCGGTCACATGACATCTTGGCGCTGCAAAGGAAGTCAATTCTGGATGGCTGCCCTCTGCCAGGTGCTGTGATTGTAGGTCTGAAAAGGGAGAGGTAGCTATATAATGCACAGAAGCAGTCACTAACTGCTGGTCCTGTTCAAATTGAGGTCCTAATGGGGGAGTATCTGAACTAAAGGCCACCAGCCCAACATATATGTATTGTAATTAGGGGAAAAATACTGCCCCCCGTCTTCCAGTTCCCGTTTGTTTGTCCCCCCCAGAGAGGTGTAAGTTATAAAAGGTCTGTCATGTAAAACACGGCATCACCCAGCAGTCAGGTCAAAAATGGCAGCCTATTCCTGGTTTCTATTAAGTTCTTCAGACAGGTGGGAGTTTATTAAAAAAAACAAAAGAAAAGTGCAATGAAGTGTACCATCTCCTAGCATCCAGTCTTTATTAATCGGTTTTATTGAGAAAGTTCCAGACTTGTGTCTACAGATTGTTGCATATTTCGTTTCCTAATACCATGACTCTATTCCTTAAGGTGGACTTGTCTTCAGATATATTTGACTACGTTATGTGCCCGCATGCTAAGTAACATGTAACACTTACATTTATTTCCTCACACAGAGATCATGGTACTCACCCTGACAATGTCTTTATGTGCTTTCTCTCCAAAAGGATGGCACCATGCCTCAGCATCTACTTCCTGAGATGCTAGTTTTATTGGCTATGTACAATTATTGGCTGTGTTCACAATGTCTGACACAAAACAGCCCTGTTTGTGCTGAAGACTGTGGTGAACTGACTGGATCAGCCACTGGTTGTAGGTGAGTGGTTGCATGGGTGAGTATAGAGATGTCCCACCAGTCACTTGTACCTGATGGTGCATATGTGGTAAACCCTCTTAGGTTTTGGGCTGCTGCCTTTCTGGTACGTCCTTGAGGTCATTTCCACACATGGAATAATGGAAAAGAAGGAAAGCCTGATGTTCAAATGAATGCATTTTTGATGGTAGAGTAAGAGGCATTTCTTGAGTAACGACAAGTACATCAAGCCAATGCGTTTCAAAAGAAAAGACTGTCCGTTCTTCAGGGCTGTTGCTGCACTATATTAAATGGGAAAAATTCCCACGTCGGTAATATATTTTCCAGGTTTTCGGAGGAAAAATGAATGATCACAAGAATGACTTGCTGCCCCTAGAATGACAGCAGCCACTCTGTCATTTTTCCTCTGAAACCTGGAAAATATATAACAGGTGTGGGAATTTTCACCATTTAATAGCGTACAGCAACAGCCCTGAAGAAGGGAGAGTCTTTTCTCCAGAAGCGTTGGCTTGATGTACTTGTTACTCTCAATAATTGCCTCTTAATCTACCATCAAAAGTGCATTCTTTTGAACATTGGGCACTCCTTCTTTTCTATTATTACAAATCAGCCCTGGTACAGCTTCTCACCTGAATTTCTAGTTAGATCGATATCACCTTGCAGTCTTACCACTAGAAGAGAGGAAAGTGAGAAAATTATTCCTCCTGCCTGCAGCTTATGGAGCAATCATCTCCATCTAGGAAAAAGTCACTTAACCAGAGCTTATTGACTGCATTGAAATGATAAAGGTATGTTTTATTTTAAATTATACTGTTGCTCCATATCATGATATGCCAGGACTGCATTCATGCAAACAGGTTAAGACGTTTAACAACCGGCCATTCAGCTCTTGTATATAAATGGCTTGATGCCTTCTTTCTGAAGGTAAGGGCCATTTTAAAATGGCCTTCCTTTTGTGGTACTCACGTGCACCCTCTAGTACATGCACAATGTCTGCCGTGTCCATGGACATGGCAGATCACAGAGCAAGGCACAGAGCCAATAAAAATTGGCCTGTACCACATGATGACTGTGACTAATCACAGCGATCACAAATGTAAATAAAGGCTCGTAGCTACGGTTTTGTTTCCTAACTAGACCAGTGCAATCCAGCAACAGTGTTCCTGATCACTGGCCATACCAGTCTTAGTGTCACCAGACCAGTGTTCCTGATTGCTGCCACACCAGTGCCAGTACCACCAGACCAGTGAAGCCAGCAACAGGGTCCCTGATCAGTAGCCACAAAAGTGTCGGTTTCACCAGTGCAAGCCAGCAACAGTGTTCTGATGCTATCACATCAGTGACTTGTCGCCTGGTGCCTGAGCTGACACTCACCTATTTATTGACAGAGTTTTTACCTGCCACCTTGTCTGATACTTGGCCTGTATA